TAATAATAATAATAATAATCAAAACAGCAATAATATAACAATGGTAATTTATCTCATTGCAGTCTTCACAAAGAACAGTTTAAGAAACAGCCAAAATCTGTTGAAAACTGTTCTATTCTATTCATATAAGCTCAAAACGGCCCTGTTTTACTCTATTCTGTGCATTCCTTGTTTGCGAATTGTTTTTTCTATTCCTTGGAATAGAACAGGAATAGAATAGTTTAACTGGAATAGAGACATCACTAATTGGGAGAAAAATTGTTATGTTGGAAAGTGAAATTATGCTAACTTAATAATTGGACTATAAGATTAATTAGGCACCTCCATCAACATATGTCTCAGTTCCATAGCCATCATGAAAGCCAGCTGACCATGTACCCTGATACCTGGCTTGCGAGGTCATAGACTGTCGATGCCCATATCGACCCTTATAGCCTTGTGTCCACTCTCCTTTATACACCCATCGACCACGTTGTTCTACACCCAAACCGTGTCGTTTACCATTTTGCCACTGTCCCTGATAGGTATTACCAGATGGCCATGTGTATACACCTGATACCTGAAACATGCATGCTCATTCAAATTAGAACACTTTAAGTACAATTTCTTCAATTACACGTATTCTTGCATATTCCAATGAGAAATTTGATCAGAGGATCACAAATCTGCAAGGAAAAATTCCACTACTTTCCCAAAAAGTAGCTGATGAAATCGCCAGCCTAAGACTTTTTGAAATTTGTATTCAATGCTGTGACTGGAGTAAATTTCAGAAGCTGCAGTTTAGATGTGTGTTATGAATGAGTGAGAATTTCGACCTGACCTCAAATCCATAATGCCACGCTCCAGCGTATTCACCTTTCCCTTGTGGACCGGTACACACACCATGACCATGTGCCTTGCCTTCCTCCCATCCACCGCAATATGTACCACCATCATCAAAGTCAAATCTTCCACCATTCATCTCTACAGTTTTGCATAACTCGCTCTTAGCCTGCTACACAACACTGTTATAATTTGATATGGAATAAACGCAATTCGAACGTATTATTATTGCGTAGCACATTCGAGCGCATAGCGCACTACGAACTTGAGTCAATCGAATGAGCTTCTATTATATCAACATTCAGCACCAACCATTGTCCTCGAATCATATGACACAACATCGGTCTACATTTTTTCAGTTACTGAACAGCGGTAATCAAAGCAACACTGATGAAAAAGTTAATGAAATTTACAATCATAAAAATATTAATGATGATAATCAAAAATAAGTTTCTACAGCAAAACCGAATGAAGAATCTTGTCAAACTGAAAATAATGATCTAGATTAGGAGGTGGCTCTTGTGAATGATTCTTGTGAATGGTTTGTTGTGAGTCGTATGAGGAAATAACGATAGAAGCAAATTTGAATAAAGAATTTAGCTTCACGATGAAGAAAACTCATTACGGAATAAACCAGAAAGGGAGTAATAAATAATAATTTTAGTGAACTCAAACAAGAATTCTACATCGCAGTGTTTGTAAAGCTCTCACCAGTGATGAACATACAAACTCAGAAATATCACACGTAATATAAACGGAGGTAATTGCTGCTAATCAACTGCTGCTGCGTTACATGAGTGCAGAAAAAAACAACTGTTAATCGATTCGAGACTTTTGAATGCTGATAGAATTCGAAAGTGAAATGTAGATGTGTAGGCTTAATTCATAGAGCGTATTCGATCTCGAGCTTGAATTTTAATGAATTTAAATTTTACTTTGTATAGAAAGAAGTTTCAGTTCAAAGTTCAATATCAACGCGAAAGTGGAAATCCTAGATCCGAGTCACACTGAAACAACATCTTTCATCAACATGAAGAGCATCACTGATTTTGAACGACACTCATATTGATGAAACTATTGGAACATATTGATTGAGCTTTTTACGGACGTTGCAAGCGCATCGATTCGTAAATCAGCTAACATTCTTTTGTTTGAATTAACGCTTGATTAGTTGAGTAACCTATTAGGCGAGATTATCTGAACTCATTCCTCAATTAAGCTTCGATAGATTTTGTATTGAATAAAACGTGTTGAGACAAATGGGGTTGAACAGAGGCGAATCGAAAATCGTTGGGCCCAAATAAATAATTGGTTCGTATCAGTGATAGCAAAGAAGTCAAAAAGTTTGCTGTTCACAATCACGCAATCTCTTAATGATTCTCTTAATAATTCTTTACGTAAAAAATATCCGAAGAACCAGCAAGAATAACACTGTGTGACTAAAAAAATTATGCAGGGAAGGTCGCTTATTTTCCGGGAGAGTTTTCTATATAGAATTCGGCAGCTTTTTTCAGATAACCGTCAAAATCCAAAAGACGGCCAAAGGCAGGAATTTCACTGTCTGAAAAAATGCATTGCCTGTATAAAATACTATATGAAGAACCGGAAATGGTTTTCATCACTCCCTACTCCCTACCTTTGTAGTGCTATGTTTTTCGTGTTTCGCATTGGTACCTTTCATGTTTGCGTCCAGTGATCTGCTCTTGCCATTTGTGTTTCGTCTACATTCTTCATTTATTTCACATTCGTCCACTGCTCCCTTCATTATTCATGGCGCTTCAACACAATGCACGTTTTTAAGTGGGCGAATTTGTTCAGTCGTTCGCGAGAAATGGTACGCAAATTTCAGTGTGGCATCTGGAACGTTTAAGCGCTTTTCACGGATGATTAGCGCGAGATAGGAAATATCAGATTCTGGATTCGGATTCTGTAAGTCAATTTGCACATAAACAACACTCGCTTCAGCTTGTGTGCGAAAGAAAAGTCAACTTTTTTCAGGCAGTGAAATTCATCCTTTTGAGCTTCCTGATGATTATTCGCAAAAAACTGCTTATAGCGATGCAAAAAATTCATTTCTGGATTCCACTTAGAAAACCGTCCCAGAAAATGACTTCATTTTGGCATAATTTGTCTGTTACGCAGTGTAATTTCAATAATCTGCTGCTATGAAACAATTAATCAAGAAGTTGAAACATAAGACACTAGCAGTGATCAAATAAGACATGATAATTCGAAATGTGATGAGTATTTACATTAGGCAATACAAAATGGTTACATTAGGCTGTCCAGATAAATAAACTAAAATTATTGGTAGCGTCTTATTAATATAGCCAGACAGCTGACAACTACTGCGATACGGCTTGAATCTGTTTGGAAGGGTTTGACAAATCAAATCCAAAGAAAGAATAAATTATATGATATTCAACTAAATCATCAGAATTTTATAAAGCAAATTGTTCAGGCATCGTCGCTGTGTACAAACAAACTCATTAACAATGGCCGTACGGTGATTCAGCGAATATTTTGTTGAATGAGAACTAAGTTGATGATGATGATTGGACAAAGCGAAATAGGTTTATGAAGTGGAGTGAATAAATGATGTAAGAAATTCAGACAGCGGATAAGTGGTGCTTGATTTATTTGCATATTACAATTGTATTTATTTAGAGCTGAGATGTACACCTGCAATACGATATTATTGAATGGGAAACAAATTTTGGATTTGATTACATTAGCTCATCTTTTCTCGTTGCTAGTCCAAATTCATTCGTTCTGTAGTTGTTCCATCTCCTGTAATGTGACGGGAATGCGAACAAAACTCATCACATCAAGGAAAGTCGATTTGATTCATGCAATTTATTGAGTTGAATTTGCAGTGATTGCAAAAAAATTATTGAGTTGAATAGCTTCCATGAAGAGACCAAAATTCAGAGATGACGCCAAATGAATAATTACTCTAAAGAAAATAATATTCGTTTCTGTTGATCTCAATTCTTTGAGACTATTAAATAAATTAAATAGCATTCAAAAAAAACCGATAGATTCTTATCGCATGAAACCTCAGCGAGCACACGATAATATGGTAAAGTGAATGCACTGCTTATAACTGGCCAGAGATTATTTTGTAGAAAATCGAATACGCACAACGGTATAGAAAAAATAACGTCAGATACAGGAAAAAATTTTGATAGAAATTAAAGAAGCAATAACAATTTAGATAGGGACTCAATGACTATGTACAACAATGATGAAGATGATGTCAAGAGCATGTCAATTTAGGGGTAACACGAAAAGCTAAAATAGACACTGCAGTTTAATATTCTACCTTATTCAAAGAGTTCAGCAAGTGGAAAACCCTGAAGATACAGAAAGAAAAAAATCATAGAAAGTTTAAGGGATATCAAAAAAAATCTTCAGCTTCTAAATTTGCGAAATCGAATTCTCTAACGCATTCTCAAAAAAGAAGAAAATGGCACAAATTGGAAAACATTTCAAAATTGGCCGGGTATCCAACTCAGTTTGCAATGCTTCCACCGGAAATCTGAAAACGGATCCTCTGAAAAGATAAGAGAGAAATGCGAAGCAACCAAGCAAAAGATTTCATGTGCACTCAACACAGCACAATATATTATTTTTCAAAGAATCGATTCGCACCGAATTCTCTACCAGCAAAAATTCGTTTCTGATATTATGGAAAAATGTCAGCAACTTTAAATTCCATTAAACCATGCAAAATTTTCAATTCATGGACAGCAGTAAACTACAGAAAGGTGACGCTATGGGAATCAAAGAATACAGTTCAGTGATGCCGCAAGCAATTAACAATGACAATGGATAGGGATGATAATGAAAATAATCAATCATGATATAATAATAATAATAATTACTAACAATAAATCCTAATCACGATCATAATCACAATCATAATTACAATCATAATCATAACAATAGTTGTGTGTTCAGTTGGCTAACTGCTGCTGAGGATATAACGTTTGCTGTACTAGTTAACGAAATCGTTTACACAACACCGTTCGTTCTTCACCAACAAGAATAAGGTTTGTGTGGATGTAGATGTGAATGTGTGCTTATTTCCACTCAATTGTAGACATATGCTAAAAACAACCAATACTTCTTCTATTCCACTGCTCATTTTTTGTTTTCTTTTTGGTTGCTTCGTCAAATCCATTCAACTCAATATATTACTTTCTGATGCTTAAATCAAATTCCACTCTTGAACATTTTTACCGCTTTAACATAAGCCATTCCACAATCACTCTTCAAACATTCATTCAGCTATGAGAATTTTTCGTTTACAACATATTCTATTCAATTATTTTATTTAATTACCAATTCATTTATTCAACTCATCTGGTAATCATTCTTCCCCCTTTGATGCATGCTATAATCGATTCTTGTGAACAGCCAAGTAAAAACTTTTTGCTTATGGAAGGTACTTCCTTGAAAATACGCGAACAACTATTTCCAATTTGTTAGAATACTACCCCAACTTGCATTTACAAATGCATTTAGATGCGGAAGGCAAGAAGTGGCACAAGTTAAAGATGACATGAATTCGTAAACTGCCAATAACATTTTGCAACCAACCGATAAGAGGCAAAACAGTGAACCAATGCGATTTTATTACATCTTCAGTTTCACAAATTAATAGTCAGCATGTTGGAATGGAATGAGGTTCATTCCTCGATACTATCACGAGAGTGGTGTTTTGACCTCAAAACTGATGTAACTCAGAGTGTGTTGTCGACTCCACATCCTAGCTATTAAATTAGCAAGCATAATCTTTTCCCCTTTTCGTCACAAATTGTAATTGTATCAAGTGCACGAGCAATAACAAATACATCTCAATCTATTGGAAAAAGCAGCAATTTGATAACAATCGTATCTGTTTTTAACATAAACCTAAATTTATTATCAACTTTAATCAGCAGAATGCAAATGAATGCTGCATCATTTCTGTGACATAAACCAATCAGCATTAAACACATGGAGAATTCGCAAATGAGTTTTAATATCCGATGATTATTCAACACTATTTCGATGTCATGCCATCACTCCCTTTTCATTTCCAGCAAATTATTATAGAATTTGAGATGGCCTTACCTCACTGGCTCGACATTCTCAACATCACGCATGAAAAATTTTACAATTTTCTGGTGTGTTCAGCATTTCAAACATTCAAAAAAACCAACAGAAACTATAGTGGTTAACTTTGGACAGCTTGGTTATTTTTTTAACTGTTGAACATTCTAGCGTGTTCGAGTGTTTAAAAGTTAAAAAACATCGCTTATATATCTTGAAAGAGCGAAAG